TCATGATGGTCTGTAATATAAAATGTTCGGAAGTAAAAAAAAAAAAAGAAAAAAAGAAAAAAAAAAAAGATTAACCCGGACTAGAACGGACCGCGGATCTGGCATTAAGGGGCGCCATGGCACCGGCGTCCCAATAAGAAGTGGCGTGTTCGTGTCGGTCTCCTGCTTCTCCTGCTACCTCGTTTTCCTGGCCCGTGGAAGCCGAGGCTTTGCCAATGTAGGTGACGATGTCGCTGATGTCTTGTTCCGATGGCGGCGGCAGGGCGGTGTCCCGATTGTTTGGAGTGTCGGAGTCTTCGGTAACTGTGCGATGAGTGTTCGATTCGGGAGACGGGTCCGACCCGACTAGTTGGGTCATGGTGAGGTCGAGGGAAGGTAGAGTTGGGACGGAGGATGGGGGAATGATTTATTACTGTCGGAAGAATAGTAGGGACAAAAGGGGGATCGCTCGCTGTGATGACCGAGTGACCCAATGCACGTTCACCGCGGCTTCACGCGCGGGTTGGGATCGGCGCTTGGCATGAGGCTAGACGCCGTTAGATGAACGACTTGTTCAAGTACCTAACCAAGCTAAGTGTAAGGTACTTGTCTACGCCAGTCAGCAAGTACATATACTTCATGCCAATAATGGAACCAACAGGAGAGTACCTTACGTTACGTTATTGTGCTTATCCAAGGGAAGTCATGCGAGGGCGCGGGGAGCGGGACACTCCCGAAGCCGATCGGTTGGTTCCGCGCCGGAGCTTCGGTAGAAATGTAGACGTATACTTCTGCTTCGTTCTTACATCCAGGCCTCTGTTTGTTCACGCTATCAACTCGGCACCATCTGATTCATGTCTCTTTCTCCCATCTCTATAAGTCGCTGCACAGCTCCGTCTAGGCCCAAGTCCATTCTCATGCCCAGTTGTGTATATATATATGAGGGAAAAAAGGGAATAAAACTCCGCCCAATGTCGAGAAATAGATATCGTCACCCATTCCGTAGTCCTAAATATCACCTCCCGCTTCATGCATCACCCGAATCCTGCCCCTCAGCGCTTCCCGTTTCTTCTCATCCCGAGGCATGACCATCGCCCCGGCCGTCTTCCTCGCCTGCGCCACCAGCCCCTGCCACTGCTCCTGCGTCTTCTGCAGCAACACGCCGTGACCAGGGCCGAAAGACGAAGGCGTATCCAACCCACCAACCCCTCGTCCGTCGCTGGAACCAGCTCGGAAGTCGGCGTCAGCAGCGGCCGCAGAACAGTCACTACTCCGCCGCCACATGGGCGACTGCTGCTGCTGCTGCTGCTGCTGCTCACCACCGCGGCTACCGCTTCCACTGCGCCGAAACACCCGCGAAAACGCCTCCGAGTACCGCCCCATCCTGCCCTTCCCCTCGTCCTCCTCAAACTGCGACCGCGTACCAGGGGACCCCAGCAGTCGGGGGGGCAGAGACAGCGCCGTGTGGGGGGGCGTAAGAACGCCGTCCTTCCCGAACGCGAAAGACGAGGGACCCAGCCCCTGCGTCGTGACGCTGCTGGGCGGGCTCTTCCTCGCCGTCTGCAGCACCCTTGTCGCGAACCCCGGGTTCCTTTTCCGAAGATGGAGGGGCAGCTGTCCCGCGCCGTTGTCGTTGCCGTTGCCGTTGCCGCTGCCTTCCTGCTTGTGGTGGTGCCCCGACCCGGTCGCTTCCAGCCAGGAAGCGATGTGCGGAGCGACGGTAAAGTCGACGTCTTTCTGAAGAGACGAAGGGCGAGACCCCAGCGGGGTACTACTCTGGGTGGACGAGGCAATCTGCGTCGCGGTGGCGTGGTACAGGTCCCGGGCGCCGACGGCGCTGTAGTCGTTGTAGTTGTCCCGCCGGGCGGGGATCGTTTCGAAGTGGTGCAGGCTCTCGGCGATGCTGACGGGGGATAGGGGGCTCGATAATGATGTCCTGGTTACGGCCGGGTGGTCGCTGTAGCGGCACCGCCTCGCCCGGGTTCTGTCGAGCGGGAAGGCGCCGGTGTGTGGTGGGACGGGGGACGCTGGCACCCAGGTGGGGTAGTCCTCCGCGGGGCTGTAGTAGCACGGGCGGGTTAATGTGTCCTGCCCTTGTTTGGCGGCGTCGAGGGTGTCGAGAAGGCTCAGGGTTCTCGAGGGCTCGGAGACGGGGGCGGGGACGGGGACGCCGACGACGGATGGGTTCGTGCAGTCGTCGTCTTGGAACGAGTAGGTGCTGCTCGAGGTATCGTCTAGAAAGGTTGGGGAGTGGAAGCCGAGGTCGAGGTCTTTGGTGCGGATCTGAAGTCCTTCCCTGATGGGAGGATCATGGCTGGTCATCTTGTCGACGCGGCCTGAGGAGGGGTCGTTGAAATTGTTGCCTGGACTGGGCGAGCCCATGAAGGCTGACGACAGTAGGGGAGTAGAACTTCCAAGTTGAACCATCTTTCGTGGTGTCTGCGGTTGTGACGGAGGGGAAGAGGCCGTGCTGTACTCCTCTTGCGCTGTGATGCAGAACGGTTCATTCATAGACTTGAAGTTCATCTTCTTCCTGAGAGGAACGGCGGGGAGAGGCCTGTTTTCATACCCGTCAGACGGTGCCTGAGGAGGCAGAACCTGCCGCGGAGGGACGGTAAGTTCCATCATCTCCTGCAGGGAGTGGTGGTGGTGACCCATGGCCCTTGGACCCAATATCGCGACGGAATTTTCCAACGGGCTCATGAACGCTTTACGCCCCGTGTTTTCTTTTGTTGGAGTAGGAGATGAAGGAGAACTCTGTCCCGAAACGCACGCTCGCGTTGGTTGGCTATTGCTGAACTGTATGCCGAGACCATAACAAAGAAGGCATAAAGCTGAGCGGTTCGATCCAAGATGTCGGGTCTTCTTGTCCGGGATCCTCTAAGCGAAGGCGCAAGGTGCCTTTGTCGGCCGAGCGGTGACTGGATACGGACGGAGGGGGGACTCGGAAGCCTCCGTACACAACGCACCAAGATAGACGCCCTCGCAGACAAAGCAAGGCGAGGCAAGGCGGAGGGCCTGCAGGACGAGAAAGCGGAAAGGATAAGAGGAGATGGTGGGTGAAAATGGGCGCACGAGAACCGAGGCTGGCGTATTATGTGTTGCTCTGATTCAGCATTTGTCACGGCGTCTTTCCTTCTGCTGGCCTCCCCTCACCCCTCCCGCCCTCGCCTCACGCTACACGAGCTGATCAACTGTTTGTTCTGCGGGCGAGTCGCCGATGATGCAACAAAACAACATCATTTGGCTGGGCGTTTCCCACCCCGGTCAGGCCAGCCATGCCAAGGCGAGCACATGGCATGTGGGCGCAAGTGTCGTGTAGTACCTGTGCTACACACCGTTGTATAAGGAGGCTTCGTGGGAGGAGAGGACTTCTTCAGCCCTCTGACCCGGCACTTCGGATGTCGTGAACCTAGTGCGCCGATGGCTCGGAATGCAAGATGAAGAGAATGAGATGTCATCTCGTTCATCTTATCGTATAACACAGTTCAACTCTTGAACTCGATGATTCCGAGTAGACCTAGGGATTAGATCTCGTTATTGTGAGTGTTTGATCCGTCATATCTTCCAGGTCCGAGTCTATCAATGACAAACGATGGGCATAAGAGTCCACAAGCAGACAGACGAGACGCGCAGAGACAAACGCAGCGGCATCTACCGATGGCCCACGTGTGTAAGAACCGTCGTCTTCATCGCTACGGAGATCTCTCCTTGATCGGGTTCTGTTGGAAAAGGGAGACAAGAAGGACAACCCAAGACATCGATATCAATGACATGCATGCCCAGCTGCTGCTGGTAGGTCCGTTGCCTCTCCCTTGCAAACATGGCAACAAAGAAGTTTGATGGCGGTCAAGGAGAGGAAATGGCGGTAGTGTCCGTGCTATTGGAACGTGCAGATGGCTTGAAGTGTTTGGACAAACTGCGAAAAAAAAGAAGAAAAACCCCCTCGAGGAGAGTCGGGTCACCGGTCAGCCATCTACCTATCATGCTGTGTCGAATAGTGAAGCCCCGGCTCCTTCTGCGCCCGGTCCGGGGATTTGAACAACTGCATCCGGAGCTGTTCACGTCGAGGCCGTGTCGTTGTTTGTTTGGAAGTCCCGTACGAAGTTGCGAAGTTTGTGTGTGTGCGTGTGTGGAGAGAGAGAGAGAGAGAGAGAGAGTCGTCCTTGGCTGAAGGTTGAGCTAAGCTTCAGGTACATGTCTTTGTACCCGCTCGTCGCGCTAAAACCAGAATTCAAGGTTACATCAGCAGCCCTATCAGCAGCCCTATCAGAGGACCCTGAGACCGTTTTGTATGGGGCCTGAAGGAACGGAGCTGATGGTACGTACCCCTTATGGAATACTCGTATGAGAAGGTACTAAGATTCTGTACCAGTACGTACGAAGTAGCCCCCTAAAAGGTTAATAATGAACCCTGATGAAACACCACCTCCTGATCCTCATGAGATAATCATGAGGCAACTGGGGGTTCAGTTTGGTTACTAATTAACTCTCCAACTCCTCGTCATGCTCTTCGCCTTATCGCGAGCCTCAACTCGACAACTGGGACCAACCCAATGAGATGGCCTCTCTCCTACGCCGCACAAAGCGAGCTCTCGGCCTCCCCAGGTGGGCCTGGGCCCTGCTCCTCCTCGCCCTCCTCGAATCCTACCTGCACTGGCGCAGCTTCCTCGTCGCCCGCCCCGCCCTCCACCTCGACAAGCCCTACCAGACCCAATGCAGGGAACCCGACGTCGACGCCCCCCGCGAGGACGCCGTCGTCGTCATGATGGCGCGCAACTCCGAGCGCCAGGCCGCCCAGCGCGCCATCGAGTCGTTCGAGCGCCACTTCAACCGCTGGTTCCAGTATCCCATCGTCTTCCTCAACCACGAGCCGTGGGACAAGCGGTTCATCCGGGCCTTGAGCAGGGCCACGTCGGCCGAGACGCATTTCGAGGTCATGTCCGAGTCTGATTTTGGGTATCCGGACGGGGTTGATCGGGATGCCGCCAGGGCGAGCATGGTGCGGCAGAAGCAGCTCGATTGGCCTCATGCCGGGAAGGAGGGCTACCATCATATGTGCCGGTTTTACTCGGGGTGAGTCTCTTTTTTTCCCTCGACGATGAGAGGAGAAGAAAGTGCATGGCATAGCTTACAGACAAACCTCAGCAAGTTCTACAACATGGACATCCTAAAGAAATACAAGTGGTACTGGCGCCTCGACCCGGACACCGAGTTCTTCTGCTCCATCACCTACGACCCCTTCGTCGAGATGGCCAAGCGCGGCCACGTCTACGGCTTCACCATGGCCATCTGGGAGGTCCTCAGCACCGTTCCCTCCCTCTTCCGCCACACCGCCGACTACAAGGACGCCGCCGGCATCCCCTCCTCGCCGCTGTGGAAGGCCATGGTCGACCCTTCGCCCCTCCCGTACCCGCTCCGCTCGCTCACGAGCCTCCTCGGCAACCGCGACAGGCACGGCGACGCCTGGAACGGCTGCCACTACTGGAGCAACTTTGAGATTGGGGACATGGACTTTTTCCGTGGGAGCCAGTATCAGGCGTATTTTGATGCCATGGACCGCCGCGGCGGCTTTTATTTTGAGCGGGTATGTTCTGTTCTGCTCCCTCGCTGTTCTGCCGCTGCCCAACACTCTCTGACACAGTGCCTTAGTGGGGCGATGCCGCCATACACTCGCTGGCGGTCGCCATGCTTCTCCACCCCTCGCAGGTCCATCACTTCGACGACATCGGCTACCGCCACGACGAGCTCTGGCAGTGTCCCGCCAACGCGCTGGGCGGCCAGCTCCCCGAATCCGAGGCCCTGGGGAAGAGGCCCTGGCAACCCGAGGTAGAGGGTGGCATCGGTTGCCGTTGCGAATGCAAAGGCTACAAGGAGCGGAGGAACCACCCGGCCGTTTGTCTGAATAAGCTCACCGCACCTAATACGCCTGGCAGCCAGCCATGGCTGCCCTGGACCTGATGGCTGGGCCTGATAGCCGGACCATTGAGGCTGTTTTGGGATACCCCGTTTTTATTCCTTCCTGTACCTAATTATAATGTCATTGGCGTTGGGCGGCGCCGATTCCATCCGCCTTGTATATTCATAATGTTGAGATACCCTCCTTATCAAGTCATGCCGTCGCTTGTACAAAAATCCGAGTCGGCGTGGTAAACAGTCGAATGATGTGATCTATTATACACAAAAAAAAAAAAAGGATAAATAATTTAATCCTTTACAAATCGTCGTCCTCCGAGTCCTCCTTATAGTCGCCCAGCAAGATGTCATCAACGCCCAGGCCGGCGGAAGAAGAATTCCTAATAAACTCCGCCTCGACGCGGAAGAAGATCCAGACCCACCGCCGGAACACCTCCAGCAGCTGCAGCAGAAACAAGAACCCCTCCCGGTCGTTCAGCGGGGCGAGGCGCCCACTCAGCCTCGTGGCCCAGGTACAGCGCAAGACGAGGTCGAGAGCGATGACGGCGTAGTAAACGACCGGCTGGCGGAACGCCAAGCGACCACGCAGCCCGTAAGGGTGCTGCTCGCGCAAGCTGGTTCCCCCGCGGCGCGCCGGCGAAAACAGCGTCAGGTCCCAGTCCTTCGTGACGTCCCACCAGAGCGAGTAGAGCGAGTTGAGCAGCGCGGCGGCGGCCCAGGCGGCATCGAGGGCCGGGCTGGGCGGCGGCCCCCCCGCCGCGAGGCTGCGGTGCCGCTGCAGCGTCGCGAGAACCAAAACGGGGAAGGTGGTCGCGTACTTGGCCGCGTTGGCGAGGTGCTGGCCCCCCCAGCCGGAGGATTCCCTGTAAGGCGCCCTCTTTACGCGGAGGTACTCGATCAGACACTGGCGGAGCCGGATGGCGCTGGGGATGGCGACGACGAGGGGCACGGCGAGGAGGCCGCCGCAGCTGCGGTTCGGGGCGGCGGTGGCGGAAGCGGAGGGCGAGAAGAACATGCATACGGCGACGAAGAGGTCGCCCAGCACCTTGCCGTAGCTGGTCAGGGCGTCGGCGAGGAGGATGTCGCCGAACTTGCCGTCGTTGGCTTCGGCGATGCCGCCGATGCTGACGCGTCGGAGAGAGGTGAGGAGGCGGCGGCGGCCGTTGCGGGCGAGGTCGCGCAGCGGGGCGAAGAAGAGGGCGGCCAGGGCGGCGAGGAAGGTCATGGGCATCCAGTCATAGCGGACGACGAGGTCGGGGACGCCGCGGGTGAAGAGCCAGAAGGTGGTGAGGGAGAAGGCGAAGAGGATGGAGAGGACGGTGGCCAGGCGGTAGGTCGAGAGGTGGTGGGGGGGTTGGGTCGGCGAGGATCGGGAGGGGTATTGGATCAGCGAGGGGGTGTTGATTTTGGCGCGTTCCAGGTATTGGAGGTTGACGCCCCAGCCCCATACACCTGGTGCGGACAGTTGTTAGCAAGAAGATATAGTGGAAGGATAAAGAGGACGGGCACTGGGTGAGATCAGAAGGGAGGGGCCGTACCGAGGATGAGGATAAAGCCGACACGGTAGGGAAGAGGGAATGTCAGGCTGAACAAGTCGAAATCCTGCCCGACCTTGTGATCACCGGCCATGGCTGACGGGGTCGTCGGAAACCATCGAGGGAGGGGGGCGTAAAGGAGGGCTATGTTGGCCCGAAATGCATGAGAAAAGGTGTGTAGGAGTCGTCAAGGACGTCGTTTCCGCATTGAGTGGCGTGTGGAGTTGGAGGTCGAAGAAAGACCAAGAGACGTGTCAGCGTTGATGTAGGAATCTGGAATCTGTCCTTGAAGGGAGAAAAGGAATGAAGATGACGAGGACCTGGGGTGGTGAGGCTGTCAGCTGTCGGCAGGTGTCAGAATTCAGGGGTCTATGTGAGTTCCAGATATCAGACAGAGGACACGACTGTTGTTTGAGATTACACCGTTCACCAGGCAATAGAATTTTTTCCTTTTCTCTTTCTATTTTTTATAAACTTTATAGAACTACCAGTTTCATGTCTCAGGATTTGTCTGATTGAATGCAAGACTGACGTTAAATTGGCAGCCAGCATGCTGTGTCCGGTGGTACGAAAGATGAACAGTCGAGATTGGCATTCGGTACGTATCCTTTGTGGACCCATTGAATAGGTACCTAGGTAGGTACAAACATCTATCTCACGTGACCTGTCAAGTGGGACTCCACATGCCGCGGGGACTGAACTCCCGAGATCCCGAGGTCCAACCATCAACCACCAAGGCCATCTATCGGCTTCACAGCTAAAACACCAGCTCCCGAACCCTTAACAGGGCCTCAACAGTGTACAAGTACGGATACAGACGCCTCAAGTATTGTTTCAACTCAGCAACAGCGGCATCCATAGCGACTGCCCTTGAACCATACCCGTCAAAGTCAAGCATCCATCTACCCCGTGGCCCCAAGGCATGCGCTTCAGGTAGCATCACCACCAACATATACCCAGGCCACGGGCGGCCGCCCCCAGACGACGCCAACATGGCCACTCCATCCGCCCTCCCATATCCCTACGCTGCCGCCCCCGACATCATCCGCGCCCACCAGAAAGACGCCTACTTCAAGGGCTCCCTCGCCAACTCCCTCTCCGATCTCCACCGTCGTCTCCTCGGCGTCCGCTCCGCCCACGCATGGTCGCGCGAATCCCGCACCTTCGCCGACGCCCTCTACCTCTGCCTCACCACCCTCGTGGGCAACCGAACCCTCGGCGAGGAATACTGCGATGTCGTCCAAGTCCACGCCCAGCCTAACAATACCGACAAAAACAACAAACACATCATCACCACTTCCTCCTCCGACCCCCTCCCCGCCCTCAGCCGCCGCGCCGCCTACATAGCCAGCAGCGTCGTCCTTCCCTACCTCTTCAGCCGCACCCTCCCATCCCTCCGCAACCGGCTCCGCCGCCTCCTCGAAACCCGCCTCGCCCGGCTCGACGCTACCGCCACCGCTACCAACAGCCCCACAGACGCGTCCTCCGACCCGAAAGGGACCGCCAGCAAACCCACAAGACGGATCGCAATCTACCGCTACCTCCTCGCCCACCTCCCCTCCCTCACCTCCTCCGCGCCCTTACACGCCGTGACCCTAACGACCTTCTACTTCACGGGGACCTACTACGAGCTCGCCAAGCGCCTCCTCTCCCTCCGCTACGTCTTCACCCGCGCCGTCCCCTCCACCCCGGACCGCGCCGGCTACGAGCTCCTCGGCCTGCTCCTCCTCGTCCAGCTCTCCGTCCAATCCTACCTGCACCTCCGCCACGCCCTCCTCCCGACTCTGGGCCTTCAACAACATGACCCGTCGTCGTCGGAGGAGGAGGAAGCGTCCTCCCGCCGACGCGAAAGCCTCTCACCCATCCGCGACGCAGACGTCACCCTCAACGCCGCCGCCTACGCGACCAACACCTCCGTCCTCCTCCCGGATGAAAACCGCGCTGCTATCCCCGCGTCGGGTCGCGGCGCGCGGGTCGATCTTGCGCGCCTGACGAACACGCCCGTGCCACCGACAGATGGTGCGGGTGGCGGGGGTGGTGCGCGGTACGACTTGCGCGACGAGAGCGTCATGGCGTTCGTGGCCGGGGCGCAGCAGCGCAGGTGTACGCTTTGCTTGGAGGAGATGCGAGACCCGGCTGCCACGGCGTGCGGGCATGTGTTTTGTTGGGATTGTATTGGGGATTGGGTAAGGGAGAAGCCGGAGTGTCCGTTGTGTAGGAGGGAGGCTACGGTGCAGCATATTTTGCCGTTGCGGGTGGGTTAGGATGGCCTGGGTGTGGAAGAGGTCGGCGGGGGATGTCTACTGTGTGTATACATACATATATATATATATGAGAGATCGGCGAGGCTCTGGTCGACAGTCGTCATGAGAGACAGGTGGCAATGGGAACAATTCGATCTAATTCTAGACAATACAATACACTACACCAAACGAAGGAAAATACAAAAAAAATAGTAGTCCAAAGTCCTCCCCAAAGTCGCGAGTCGTCAAGGGTAAGTAATACAGATGCCTCGTAAATCCGACAACAGAGTTCTGAGCAACCGACTGCAAAGAAAGAACCGCTGAGAGCATGTGGCATTACTCTGATTAAAAGCTCGAAGACCAGCTAGGAGCATGTCCGCCACAGGCCGAGAGGACGAAATGAAAAATAACAGTAAATCACAGATTAAACAGAACAATTAGAAAGGAAGAAAGAAGAAAAGAAAAGAAGAAAAAAAGGAGGATAAAAGGGGGAAAAGGGGAAAAAAGAGAGAAGAAACACGGGCCCGAAAACGGACAGAAATAGCAGAACAACAATAAGACCATATGGAGCAAACCCACCTTGATTCATCCATTTTCTGACTTCCATCGCCGGCCTCAAGACCTCGTTCCAGATTCATAGGTATCATAGGGGTTGGGTGGTTGCGAACGGAGTAATAGGAACATCGACACCCAAATAAGGAAAAATGGAACAACAAAACAGAAAAGTTCAATGGCGCTCCCCAGACTCCATCCATCCTTAGATTACCTTACCCCTTGTCCCTTCCCCCCCTTTTTTGGATATCAACAACTTCCTCCCGTACCACAACCTCGCTTCAATTCCTCTCGTCTGCTCCATGTCTCGCTCACCCTTCTAGACCGAACAACACAATCTCGCCCCTGTCATTCTTGCGCATCCGCAAGGACCGCCACAGCTCCTTCTCCTCCATCGCCTTACCCAGGCAGTCCGAGCTCGCGTTCCGTTCGCGGTGGTAGTGCCGCAGCGCCTTCCGCATGCTGTACCCGCGCTCGCTCTCAGGTCCCCTTTCGACGTAGGAGAGGAGCAGGTCGGCGCGCGGCCGGTAGACGATCATCTGCTGATCGCCATCGCCGTGGCCGTCCTTGTCTTCGCCGCGCGACTGCGGCCGGTACTCGATCAGCTTGGGAGCCTTTTCCCTGTCGGAATGGCGGTGCTGAGAAGACGACTTCCTCGACGAGGACGAGACCTTCCTCTTCTTCGACTTGGACTTGGAGCTGCTGCCGGCGCCCATGAGGGCCAGGAGGTTGCTGCCGAGGCTGCCTTCGGACCGCTTCGAGTGCTTGGACTGCTTCGATTGCTTCTTTTTCTTCAGCTTCAGCGGGCTGCCGGGCGATGGGTCGGCGGCATCTGCATCGCCGCCCGAGTAGTCGGGCGACGGCGGGAACATGGGGGCCATCATGCGATTGAGGCCACCGGTCAAGCCGGAATGGAGCACGGGTGGCGCGTCGGCCATGATCTGGTCGGTGTCCAGGTGGAGTCGCTTTCGCTTCTTGTCCTTCTTCAGTTCGGAGCCCGTTTTTCTCCTCTCGGTGCGAGGGGCGGGTGTCTCGTAGGGGGCTGTCGGAACGGGCCCGGTACCGTATTGGACCATGGCATGGGGGTTATCGTCGACCATCTGACCGGATTCGTCCAGATAGGTTTCTGTCTCTGTCCCGTCTCCCTCGTAACGGACGAGCTGGGTCTCCTCGCTCGCGGCTGCTGCTGCTGCTGCTAGCTGTAGGGTCGAAGCATTCGGAGTAGCGGAAGCATCGAGGAAGTCGAAGACGTTGACGTGGCCATCGCCCGCTGGGGGTGGAGAGGGCGCTTGGGGAAGGTGGGCGCGCGACTTTCCGTCATCGCTCACATCTTCGTACTCGGCGTCGGGAACCTCCTCGACGTACGGTTGCTGCATCATGATGTGTTCCGGCACAGACGGTGCGGTGGCGGCAGTGTCGTTGAACTCGTGGTTGTTATTGTTGTTGTTATTGTTGGTCTTGGCCTTCTTGTTCTTATAGAGCGCGCCTTGATACTTTTGATCCTCGGTTATACAACTCTGCGGCGTCTCAGTCAATGCATCACCGTCGAAAGGGGGCGGGAGCGTTCAACGTACCGTGTGCGACCGATATTCAGTGCCATAGAAGTGTACCATGCAGTCAATGCAGGTGAAAGTGGCGCCTCGACAACGGTTTCTGTGCGGGTCGAGTTTCTTTTTGGTCAAGACATCACCACAGTTCTGTAAAAGCAAAGGAAAGATTCGTTAGATGGCGGGGGTTTCGAGGTCGAAACACAATGATTGGCTTGATTGGATGCAAGGGCAGGAAAATGCTCCAAGGGGGGACGGAAAAAAGGAGAGATGCGAATGGGAAGGGAGAGTGGAGTGAGTACGGGATAGGTAAGGGTAAATATCTGAAGGGGAAAGTGTGTCGATGAAAGTGACGGCGCGTTCTTGTCAAACAAGGGATCGAATGGGGGCTGTGTGCAAGTATGGTATGTGTGCAGGTATGTGCGTCTAGGAACGTGCGTGGAATATGATGCTGGTGGTCTCAATTTGAGAATGGGAATGGATACAGCGGGGGTACGGAGCCGAAAAGGGGAGAGATGGAATGGGAAGTAAGAGGGGGGTGCTAAGAAAAACCGGGAGATCAACGCACCTCACACGAGAAGGAAACCATGATGGCGAGGGGCGCAACGGAGGCGACAACAGGGAACCGGGATTTTTTCGTTGCTGGATGACGACGGACGCGAGAGGTATCGACGAGGGCGATGAGGGCGATGAGGGCGATGAGGGCGATGAGGGCGATGAGGGGCTCAAAATGTGCGAATATGCGAAATGTGCGTCGAAGAGTTCGATGATTGGGCACTGATGCTGCAAAGAAGAGCGTTGGGCAGATGCGTTCCCTAAGAGGGCCTGACTGGCTCGTAGGACGTGACTGGAATGACGCGGGTGGAGGGGTCTTGGATTGGAAGGGGGGGTGCTTTGGTGGGATTGGATGCAGTAGAAGAAGCTTGCAGCAGATACGCAATCTCTCGAGACGCCGTCGTTGGTCGGGGTCGGGATGCCGGCGGATGACGGATGACGGACGATGGGGCACAAAATGGGCTGCAGCGCCTTAGGCCCGTCTTGAACAAGACGGGAGGTGATTGTCAAAAAGGCCCAAAGGTGAAAAGGGCGATGTAAGGGACAGGGACAAGCTGAGCTAGTAAGGTTCTTGGTTCGCCAAGAGGAGCCTTTCTGCTTCTGAAAATCGAACGGTTCGTTTTTATCCGTAGCCGTGGCGGCGGTGCAGGTCCAGATGGCTTTGTAGCAGATTGATCTGGTGGATTGCAAAAGAGAAAATCGAGTTGGCGTTGGTGTTGAGTCGATGTCGATGTCGATGTCGATGTCCCTGTCTCAGAATGAACCAGGATGTGAGGGAAAGGAGAAAGCCAAAGGTATCAGGACCAGAAGAGATGGTCTATCCCTTGATGGGGACTGGCTGGATGAATTCGACGAGTCTGCCCCCGCGGCGTTTCGCGCTTCAGGAGTGAGAACCAAAGCGCCAAGTTGGTGGTCGATCCGCGACTGTAACTCTGCGACTCGGGGTCGATTCCAGGTTAAGAATAGAATCAGAAGAGAAGGAGAAGGAGCAGAATGCTGATGCGAAGACTCGGGAACGGCGAGTTCGAGTGCGGAGGGAAGAGAAGAGCTCCCAACTCCGTACGATGCACGGTTGAGTCCAAAAGAGATCTGCTACAGTAACTGAGAGCTGATTTTTCTTCCGAGCTAGTCGTCCAAGTGTGGGCCGTCTCTGATTCTCGCACTATGTTGCAATAAAAAGAGGAATAAGATGATGATGGTTAGCTCCTGGGTGGGGGGAGAAAAAAAAGAAAGAAAAAAGAATAAACAAAAACAAAACGGGGCAAGTCAGGGTTTGTGTGCCAATATTGGACGATGTCCCCACGTTCCCACACGCAAAAGCAACTATCGGATAACCATATTCGTACCTGTACGAGGCACGGATATAATCCACTCACCTATAAGGGAGGTATGCAGTATATGGGCTTGAAAGAGAGAACGATCAGTTCTTGTCAAGTCAAAACGCTCTCATCTCCTTCCACGCCTTTGAAGACAATTAGTACATCGAGGTACATTATAGATAGCGAGGCTTTCCTTCCTGAAATTTCTGCTTTACTCGCACTTTCCTACCCTTCTGTGAGGTAATTACACTTGTACAAGGCACCAAAAGGGAAGGGGCTATCCTCTCCACAACGGTCCAGCCCGGCAGGACGGTGGACCTAAAACACGACATTAAATGGTCTGTGCTTAGAGACACGCCTCACGTGCTACAAAAAAACCACTCCACCCCTCTCAGTACCCCTGGTTGTCACGGGGACCACCAGGATTATAAAGTGGAGGGATTTGCCGACTTGCCCCGCCATTCAACCCAATGAATCCAAAACGCGCCCCAAACGCGTTGTCCATTGGCCCGCCTGCCTGGGTCAATTAATTTCCACCGCGAATCGGCTGCCCAACGCCATGGTGTGCTCCTAATTATCCCTAAATATGGATGGCGTCTACCAGATGATCTCGATCCTCATAGTAGGTGTTACCGTATATAGCCTCGGGCCTTTTCGGAGACGCATGAGGAGGCGAGAGGACGCAATTGCAAACCAGACAAATTTCCAACCTCTTTCCGGAACCCAGCGAAGATGACACTACATGTAATTACCGTACGCCTTGTCTAGGTCGCGCACTCCCTGGTATGATCACCACCGATATGATATCGGGACAGGGTAAGGTATAAGGCACGTTGTACCAGAACAGGGTACGCGGAGATGGGGTCTCCCTACGTCATCGACCGTTCTTATGATCACTGTCTCACCATTTCCCTACTAAGACGGACGGATCCAAGGAAGCAGACAGTTAAAAGATTCTCTTCGTATGAGCGATATGAACGACGGCAGGCTCGGCAGACTACTCTACTTCATCTTGGCAAACCTTTCCCACGGAGGACAAAGACAAGGAGCGAACCGCCCAAGTCTTACACTCACCAACCTTCTCCCTCTCCATACCCAGTAGCACACCCAGAATCTCACCCAACCCAGGCTCGTTCTCTCGCATGCGGGTTCGGCGGGAAGACGCAGGTAGGTAATATCATGCATATCTGTGGCCTAAGTCATTGATGGCCGCGACTCCGCGACCAAACCAACTCGTCCCACGACGGCGTTGCCCAGTCGCCAAGATAAATGCTACCGCCCGAAAGATGTTGTGCATGTCATGAGGGTCAGTCAACCCGGTGTGCCGCCGGCGGGGTACGCGAAGTCAATACACCCTTCAGTTCTAACGTCGCACGCCAGAGCTTGCGCTTCACGCTGCTTCGTCCCCGAGTGAACCAGCTAACCGGTAAATTGACAGTTGAAGTTGGTTCACTATTTCTCTCCCCTTGATTGCGGAGCAGGAGAGTCGCAGACCGGGGATCAACGTCTTCCGATTGGAGTTTTTGGTCGTGGCAATCGCAGCAGACATGTTACTCTCCACGACGAAGAGTGCGGAATAGATGTGTGCCGCGGGCGTAGACCGTCGAGAGTCGAGACCTCTGTGACCGGCCCTGACGAGGACCGGCATCTACGGAGCAGTGTGTGAGTATACCGTTCGTCCCTCTTCACCCTAACCGGCTGTAGACCATCGCGAGTCGTGTTGAAGTCGTACGCATCATCAGGACTGGGAAGAGTGCGTTGTAGTGCGTACTGAAGTCCTCTACAATGATTACTTATCGTTTTGACACTTCACATAACCAGCCATCCGACCAATCAGGCAGCAGCCTTCCATATAGCCAGAGTCAGGCAGTCTATACCTTAGACTCAATAGTGACTCTTCCGCTGTTTAGGTAAGGCATTGTTGAATGGTCCCAAATGTATCCGTACACGTACTTCGATGTACCTACTTTGCTGACTGAGCAGTGAACGGTGAGCTCCCCACTTATGCCCCCCTGAAGGACACGCCGTCCTCCGCCCTCCGCCCCCAAACCCCAACTCGACTCGGAAATTCCCTATTCCAGAACATCTTCATACCATACGTACACCAGATAGATATTCACTGCTTTGAATTATTAACACGCAGACCCCGTTCTTCGCCTTTACTGCCCACAATCACTCATCATCTACAGTTAACAGGAACCAGAAATCAGTCTATTCATTCCGTTGTGCCGCCCACTCCCCGTCAAGTCAACGGGAACAGGGGCACGAATCCACTCTGGGCCCCCGGGAACAGGACTTCAAACGCCCGTCCTCCAACCACCTACGAGCATTTAACTACATCCCCGTCACTTCTCCATTGCTGTTTCCCCGACCGAGCCTGACCGCCAACTCTATCTGCAGCTTCGTCTGGGCTTGATACAATCAGACAAACTCACACCTCACCAACCAAGTGGCCCTTTTCTAGGGCCGGCCCGCTATCCTGCTTACTCTTTTTATTTTATTTTATATTTTTTTTACCTCTTCTTCTTTTCGGCCCCCTTCTTCCCTCCGTCGACCTGGTTCGTCATGGCGTCCTCCAACCCTCCGTCCAACTCCAATTCATTCCTTGAACAGACCGTTTCTCTTCTCAACACCGTCGGAGGATACATGAGGCTTCCTGCTCTGGCCTCCACGGTATGCACCTAGCTGCGTCCCTTCGCTTCTCTTCCCTTCACTTCCCTTCTTTCTTCTCCCTCGTTACACATGCACGCGGTCTCGTCCACCTCTTCTACCTCCCGCCAGCTTACTCGGCAAGTTTGGTTGCGCAAGCTAATTCGTCATGTCGCCCATTCTCAGGGTGTCGCTGCCATCTTGACTTCCCTCCTATACTTTAAGCAAAAGTAAGTCACCTTCTGTTTCGCTTGCTTTGTCTTCTCTGCCGTCAGCCTCGCCTCAAGGCACAGCGTCCACTGTGCAAATCGATATTCCACAAGAGGACCTCCCCCATTACTCGATCGCGGTCAACCCACCGGGCTGACATATTCTCCTCTGCTCTCCCTTCGCCACAGGGCTCTCATCTACCCGTCGCACATGCCGCCGAATGCCAGGACAGAAGTCCCGAGACCCTCCCAATTCGGCATCAAAGACTTCGAGGAACTCGTCATCCCCACCACCGATGGAGAGAAGCTGTCCGCCTACTACATCCGGGGCCCCCGCGGCAACCGCAACTCCGACATCACCGTCCTCATGTTCCACGGGAACGCCGGCAACATCGGCCACCGCCTCCCCATCGCCCGCATGATCATCAACTTCATCGGCTGCAACGTCTTCATGCTCGAGTACCGCGGCTACGGCCTCTCCACCGGCGAGCCCGACGAGTCCGGCCTCTACCTCGACGCCCAGACCGCCCTCGACTACCTCCGGAACCGCGCCGAGACGAGCAACCATAAGCTGGTCGTCTACGGCCAGAGCTTGGGCGGCGCCGTCGGCATCAAGCTGGTCGCCAAGAACCAAAAGAACGGCGACATCGCCGGTCTTGTCCTCGAGAACACCTTCCTGTCTATGCGGAAGCTCATCCCCTCCGTCATCCCGCCCGCCCGATACTTTACCCTCCTCTGCCACCAGGTCTGGCCCAGCGAGTCGCTGATAAGCAGCATCTCGGTGCCCACCCTCTTCCTCTCTGGGCTGCAGGATGAGATTGTCCCGTGCGTGCTCTGACTTGTTCCCTTCGCTTTGATCTTTGTGATTCCCCAACTAATCCCGGTCTTCCCCTTAGGCCACATCACATGCGCCAACTATACGAGCTCTCCACCGCACCGAAAATTTGGAAACCCCTACCCGGCGGCGACCACAACTCGAGCGTCGTCGAAGAAGGCTACTTCGAGTCCATCGCCGACTTCATCACCTCCGTAACAGGGGATGAGAAGATGCCGCGGCCGGAGAAATTGTAGGACAGAGACCTCCACCAATCGAAGTTGCTCTCTGCGCGACGTACCGTTCTTGAATGGAAATTGCGCCAGGGGACGACTCAGCCCATCGCGTCTGGTCATCTGGTCACCCGTCTCGCCTTTAGCGCTTGTTTCTGCCGTGCTGGGTGTGATGCGCCAGAGGAGGTCCGCATGCGTGGCACCATGAATTGTGGACGAACATGATGAGCTTCATGAACTGGATGATAGTTCAGTCACCGACAGGCGGGTTCTTGGAGAGGGGCCGCGTTCCTACGACATTTGGATGATGCAGCTCGCCCTCAGTTTGGCGACGGCACAATTTGCCATCTTTGATACCCTTCTTTTTTCTCGGACTTGAGGAGACCGAGATGCAACAACATTCGTCAGTTGATGATTTTTTTATTTTTATTCTTGGGGGTTCAGGCGGCTCTATGGCTTTGATCCGCGGGGTTAGGAGGAATGGCGCTGGCTTTTGGCCATCATCAACCTCTTTTTTCTTTCTTTTTTTTTTCTTCTTTCTTCTCGCCTCCTTCCTATTAGACCTTGCAGAGGGCGTACATACATTGGACGAAGTCACGACGACATTGTGTTACGTATATAGATTTATGTACTCTCAGGCGAGCAGCTTTTCATATCCTCCGTCTGTTTGCTTTGCCCAGACATGATGAATCGAAGCGGTACAACCGGCCCCAACCTATTTCCACGCTACCTGCCTTGACATGAGAGTGTTGCTTCGCCCAAGGGTGGCTAATATATAGACGGGCAAAAGGGGGGGGGGGGGTTTCTTTTTGCATTCAGTCATGTTATTTGCCTTCTCCTGTCTCTCTAGTTGACCCATAGCCGAGATACGGCTGTAAGGGATTCGGACTCTACGCCTTCACTAAAATGACATCTCGCTACGTGGTTGATACATCCCCACGGCCCTCCAGAACAACCCACCTCAACCCTCGGGGTCCATCTTCTCCGCCGCAGCCTCCCAATCCTCCTCCATCTCACCCTCCTGCACAAGCTTCCTCCTGGGCGCCTTGGAAAAGCTCACGAACCCACTAGCCGGCCGACCCTCCGTCCGTAGCGCAGAGAGCGGCTTCACCTGCCGCGGCCTGGCGGCGGCACGACCCGCCACGGCGCTCCAGCCGCCGTTACTACCACTACCACTACCACCACCACCGGAATGAGGCCCCGCGTCCGTCTCGCGGCGGATGACGTTCAAGTCTGCGTCGGCATGCACGAGGGACGCGGCGCCCGCGAGACCTTCCCTGGCGAGGGTGCGCGCGACGAGCGGCTTCAGGGCGGAGAGCGAGGCCTCGGTGGCGGCGGGGGAGGTGCCCCAGCTCGTTACCGGGGCGGCGCGGACGAGGACCTCGTCGGAGGGGAGGAAGCTGGTCGTGAAGGCGAGGGTGTTGTGCGTGGATAGGTCGGGTGCCAGGGCGGCTTCGAGCTCGTCGACCGTGAGGGCGAAGCGGGGGCTTGTGAGGAGGAGGGCGTTGAAGGGGGGTGGTGGTGGGGCTGGGGAGGCCTGGTCGGGGGCGGCGGCGGCGGTGCTAGTGCCGCTGCGCGCGGGGGCCTGGGCGTTGCGGATCTTGATGCACCGCGCGAGGGTCTTGGGAGGGGCGGCGACGAAACGGGGCGTCTTGAAGATGCACACGTGGCGGTGGGGTTCCGGGTCCTGGCTCTCGGAGTCGAAGCCATAATCCTCGGCGAGGGCGTGGAGGAAGGCGCGCTGGGCGGCCGGCATGGGCTTGAAGCGGAGGCGCTTTTCGGCGCCGTCCGAGGCGAAGACGCGGAACTCGCGCTCCTGGGTCTCGGCCCAGCGCATGTTCTCGCGGAAGAAGCGGAGGGTGGTGTCTGAGTAGGGGATGTGGTCGTCGGTGTGGGTGGCCGGGTCGATGTTGAGGGCGGCGGCCAGGCGCTGGTTCCGCTGCAGCCGGAGGCATTCGTCGTCGCATTTCAGCGCCTCGCGCTCCGGGTCTGGGTTCGACAGGGTGGCGAGGCATTTGACTGCCTTTTTGCGGTTCTGGCAGCTGCAGGTGATGAACGTCTTGGACTGGCACGGCTTGTCTTCCTTGCATGCTGTAGATGTCTGTTGTCAGCACAGGTTTTCTTGGAAGATGGGAAAGGCTGATGTCGGGGGACAGGAGGAAACTCACGATAGGGGGCATGACAGGTATCCTGGTCTGCATGTCCGCATGACTTCCGAGGCTTGCCGCAAGGTTGGCCGCAGTGAGAACCTAGTATCTGGGCATCCTCACATTGGCCCGGTCGATGACAAGTCTTCTTGCAGGTGTGGGCGCTGATGAGAATAATTGTGTTAGTATCACTTGTCACTCAACCTCTAAACAAGCGGAAAGAAAAGAAGAAGAAAAAAGAGAAAGAAAGAGAAAAAAAGAAGAAAAAAAGAAAGAAAAATGAAAAAAAAGAAGGAAAAAAAGAAGAAAAAGGCAACCTACCCGCACTTGAGCTTCTCCCCACAGGGAAGCCCGCAACGAACCTCATCAAACCAACAGGGCTGGTTCTTCAGACGCTGTTTTCCGCAGATGCAAGATTTCTCCACCAGGAACGGACACTTGGGACACGGCACATCGTCGAGATGGCAGTTGTGCTCGACGGGAGGGTGGCCGCAGGGAGGTCGTCGCGTGCAACTGAACCGGCACTCGGGAGGTCTAGTCCCGCAGGGCTGCGGCGGCTGGAGGACGGTTCGGCCGCAGTTGCAGCTGATCTCTTCGAAGATAGCCTCGAGACAGCTCGGGCAGGGTCCCCGATGGCAGACGCGTTGGCACTGGTGGGCTCCGCATTTCAACGTCCTCCCGCAGGCGCGGATGCAGATGTGTTCGGCTTCGATATCCTCGGCGCCGGCGGCTGCGGCGGAGGCGGAGGCGGCCTGGGTTCGGTTCTTTCGTTTCGCGGCCTGTCTGTCGATGGCCTTCTTTTCACCCGGGCAGCAGTGCTTGCCGCACTGGTGCCTCCCGCAGTTCAACTGGGCCTGGCAGACCCTCGTGCACAGGGGAGGGCTCGGGTCTGCCCCTTGGCAGGGCATCTCGTGTGTGGTACGGCCACACCTGCAGGCAATTTCCATCATTTGCTCGCAGGTTAGGCAGGGGCCGGTATGACAGGTCCTGTCGCAGTTATGGCCGCAATCCATGAGCTTCCCGCAGACTTTCTCGCAATGGGGGATCGGGTCCTCGCAGGATTGCCTGGGCTGGTCCAGAAGCTCGTGGAGCGGCGTCTTCCCGCAGAAGCAATAGTGCACGACATGGGGAGAGAGAGGGCAGTGTGGTTGAGTCTCGTCCTGAGGGTGGCATGTCTTCTCACATTGATGGTGCCCGCAATCGTATGTCCGGCCACATACGGCGCCGCAGTCGAAGATTCCATCGAACGGCCCCAAAGGAGGAGGAGGAGGAGGAGCTTCCCCGGCCCCCGAATTCTCACTCTCGTCCTTGAGCTGGCCGTAGTTGAAGGAAGCCCGTGGTTCACCTCGTCTATCGCAGGGGATTTCCTTTCGGACCTTTCCGCAATAGCACGTGGACAGAACAGGCACTTCGCAAGTGCCGCAGAGACCGGGATGGCATTTCTGTAAACACGGGTGGTCGCCGCAGGGGAGCAAGTCGCCGCAAGGCTCGCCACAGCCCCAACCGTTGTCGTAGTCGGTATCGACGCATCGTTTGGTGACCTCATGCTTGCCACAGAAGCAAGACTGAGCGGGTCCCATAAGTGCACAAGGAGGGCAGGGGCCGGCATGACACTCCTCGTAGCACGGATGCGGGCAAGTGCCCCGCGGTTTCATGCAGGTCTGTCCGCAAGAGTGAGGTTGCAAGCTGGCGACCTGGGTTGGGTTGATGTCCTTCCCACACCAGCAGTGGTACGAGCTAGGCTCTTCGGTGAGGCCGGAGTTACAACCCAGACAGCGCCATGATTTCGGGAGGTTCTGGTCTTGCTGTTGCTGTTGCTGCTGCTGGTCTTGCTGGTCCTTCTTCTCGATCTGACTTTTGTGCCACTTCTTGACGCAGGATAGGTGGACCACGGTCCAGCACAGGGTGCACGACCAGATGCGCGAGGAACGCAGAACCTCGCTGGAGCAGATGACGCACTCGTACTGTCCATTGTGAATGTCCTCGTGAATCCGAGTAGGCAGGTCCTCGGCGGTGGACTTGGGCGCCAAGGGATACCGAGGTTGCGGTGCCCTTTGTTTTGGTGGCGGTCTATGCCAGGGTTGTCAACAACCATGTCCAATTTTGCATGGGGTCAAGATGTCAGGGTGCTTTGAAAATGAAGGCAAGGAGAGGGAAAGAAAAAGAAGAAAAAATAAAGAAAGAAAAAGAAAAGAAAAAGCACCACCTACGCTTTCCGTACAACGGGCTGACCCGGAACGAATTCCGGAGCATCTGCACTCAGCCCTCCAGCGACGGACGGCCCGGCTACGGACTCCTCTGGGTTAGGTGGCTCGGAGGTCAAATGGCCACCGAAGGTCCTGCGAGTCCCGGGAATGACTGCACCAAACCTATCCGAGCCAGAGCCCGTTCCGCATTCACGCTCACGGTTGAGCCCGGGCCCTCGTCCTCTCCCTCTCCCTCGTCCCCTGCCTCCACCACTGCCTCTGCCTCTGCCTCTATCACTGCTTCCGCCTCCTCCTCGGGGTCGACCTTGTCCTCGAGAAGGGGCGTTTGATGCCGAAGCAGGGTTGTCGTTCGGTCTACTCGCTGCCGGAGCAGTCTCGGTGGTGATGGCATTACTGGCCTCTGTTCCGCGACCCTGGGATCCGCGGGCTTGGTTCCCACGGCCTCTCCGACCTCTTCCTCTCGGCTGGGATCGGTTCCCTCGGCCTTGAGCTCCTCCACCTGCTTGAGGTTGGGTTCCTCCGCTCTCCGACATTGTTATGGGTGGAATGTCCGGTGAAATGCTTGACTGGTTGAGATGGCAGGAAAAGGCGACGGTTGTGCGTTGTGAGGTGGTTTATGAGTTGGTTGGTGCGCTTTTTTGAAATACAGCGACTTCTTACAAATAAAAAAAAATAAAAAAAAATAATAGGAAGAGAAAAGAAGAAGAAAAGGCAGCGTGCATGAAGGGAGAGAGGGGAGAAGATTAGGTTACAAAGACCTTCCTAGTCACAAATTAATCTGAGTGTGAAGAAGTGCCACTCGGGGCGTTTGGTCCTACTTCGTGGAGATATTCTATATCGATAGAGCCTCGAGTCGGAAATAATGGCGATATGTCCGTCCAGGCAGGAAAAGTTACCGCATGCCGCAGGGGACACTATAACAACTCGAAAAAGTCCCTATAAATTTAGTAGGTACACTCTATAGGCACGAAAAAAACACCCGTACGCTATAGTATATATTCGTATATATAAATACCCTAGTAGTAAAAGAAAAGTCTATAACGTAATAACGAGCTAATAAGCTATAAGGAAAAGAATTCTACTACTATAACTATAACGCCACCGCTAGACCTAATCTTATTTTCACTCTTTAGATAACTATAGGCTAGTAAGTTACCCCTATATCCGGTTCCGCGTAGGTAAGATCTATCTAAGGTAGTAT